CGTCATAATGTTTAAAATAGTTTTCGATAGAGTATAACTTCATTGCAGGACACTGCTTGAAATCTCCATATTCAGAGCTGTTTTGTTGCTTAGGGTGTTTATTATAAGAAAACTCAAGTTTTATAACAAAATAATGTCTTTATTGTTAACAAATGCAACCAGACCTTAAACCACTCTTCTGCACCTGGAAGAGCCATAAAGATGGACTTAAACTAAAGTTTATTTACAGAAGGAATTGTATCAGTTTTTTTTTAAATAATTAAAATCCTTGTAAATGGACATGTTGTCTTTTTTGATTGAGTGGTTGTGGAGTGAAATGAGGGATTATTATAGTAATAATCCCTCATTATTCTAAAAGATGTTACTTTTACTGTTATTCGTGAGACTGGTAGAAACTTATTTTAAAATGTATGTCACTTGGCATTTTAATTGTGTGTGGGTGTGTGTGTGTGTGTGTTTGTTTGTCAGGTGAATACATAAAAACAAATCTTCAAATAAGTCTTACGTTTAATAATTTTAGCAATTTTTTGAGCTCCAAAGATTTGGGAGCACTACAGTCCGAGCACCTTCTACACTTTTTTTTTTTTTTTTTTTTGGAGACCCATGATCGATATCTCCTTTAATAAGTATAATAGGTTTTAATCTTGTAATTATCCGAATTTTGGTCCTATAATTTAAATGTTGAGAAAGAGTTTGCAAGCTGCCTGAAAGAGATATACTCATTTCTATAATAGGATATCGACCAGTCTGGAGCAGATCCTCCACATTATCAGCGTCTTTACGCAGCTAGTTGTGTTAAATTAAACACAATCGAATGAGTTTAATTGTTTTTTTCTTTAGATATATTAGTGCTTTGTCTGGAATCTAAATGGTGAAAACAGAAAGCGCGGTCTTCATTGGGATCATCTTATCTTCTGTGCCTGCATTTGCAAGGACAAATATGTGTCAACCTCTATGATTGATTAGAGGCAGCGCGCGAAAGCAATTTTCAATAAACAGTAATTGTAGGCTGCAATAATTTGATAAGGTTTGTGCTGTTTTTAACAGCCGCTTTAAATGGATGAGTAAATTGAGAGTTATCGATTAGACGAGCGTGCTGTGATTTAAGATGTCAAGACGAATTGACACGCCATCTACTCTGTCCACACTTTATATAAAGAGGAAAAAACGACTAGAACAGAAATATCAGTTTAATTTTAAGTGTAAAAATGTTGTCATTCCGTTTTTTAAGGATTTCAACTTTAAACTAGTAGGCTAAACATAATTAGGCATGTGCTATACACTCTTTAAAATAAAGTTGCTTCAAAAGGTTCTTCAAGCGATGCCATAGAAGAACCATTTTTGGTTCCACAAAGAACCATTCAGTCAAAGGTTCTTTAAAGAACCATCTCTTTCTTACCTTTTTATAATCTGAAGAACCTTATTTCGCCACCAAGAAGCTTTAGTGAAACAGAAAGGTTCTTCAGATGTTAAAGGTTCTTTATGGAACCATTTAGACAAAAAAGGTTCTTCTATGGCATCGTGAAGCACCTTTATTTTTAAAAGTAAAGTAGAAAATAATTTCTATCTTACCAATCGAAATCACATTACAAGAAATGTTACATATTTATTTAAATGAGAAAATTAAGGGTTTTATTTTAGAGAAAAATAGATGAGAAAAATATAGCAAATATAGAGTAAGAAACAACTGAATTTCCTTACTAAAATGCTTTTCTTCTCCCCGTTGGTGCTACCAAACTCATATCAGCGTGTTAAACTGTGTTCAGCTCTGCATTCAGCTCATTTGTAGACGGAGGTGTAAAGCTGACTTTTAACGGCAGTGTTGTGTGTTTCCACAGAAGACGGATTTGTGTTCCGGTCAGATGAATGCGAGGCTGATTTGACCCGAGGGCATCAGTCGGACAGCGAGCTGCAGGAGGACCTGTGCAGCGAGGAGAACAGCGCCCTGATGATCGGAAACAACGACGCCGAGTTTGGGCAGCACGAGGACGACGACTCACTAAGTAAAAGTCCAGAAGGACAGCAGACTCAACAGTCCTCATCAAACGGACAGAATCACTCGGTCAAACCCAAACGTAAGCGCTCCGGTTCAGACTCCAAGTCTGGCAAACCCAGAAGGGCCCGAACTGCGTTCACGTATGAGCAGCTGGTGGCTCTGGAGAACAAATTTAAGTCGACGCGATACCTGTCCGTGTGCGAACGCCTCAACCTGGCGCTGTCTTTAAGCTTGACAGAGACTCAGGTGAAAATATGGTTTCAGAACCGCCGGACCAAGTGGAAGAAACAGAACCCGGGAGCAGACACGAGCGCACCGACCAGCGGGGGTGGAGGAGGACCGAGCAGCGGGCTGGGCAGCCTGAGTCCTCTGAGCCCGTCTCCTCCTATGGGCGGTCATCTGTCCATGCACGCCAGCTATCCGGGTCACACGCCAGGAGGACTCGTCTGCACCACTCAATTGCCCTTTCTGCCGGGTCACGCAGTACTGTCACCCTTCATGCTCGGCCCTCAGACTTACGGAGCTCACACATTTTACGCGCCGCACTTATAAGAAATCATCTTCAGGAGATCTTGTCCCGGATCGGAAGAAACAGAGTGTCCGGTCAAATCCGGCACAGGAACATTTTTAACTTGAAGCACTATGCTGTTACACACTTGCAAAGACATTTGATAGGTTTGTCTTAAAAACTGAGATGTAGCAAACATTCTGCAACTGTGGCAAGCCCAGAATTAAGTTTAGGAATCATTTTCCTCATGTCCGGCAATACATGCTAATAATTAGATTTCATTTCAATATGCTTCATTTTGATAAAATGTGAATATTTCTCAAGGTCAAACTGTATATATTCAGTTATTATGAAACGTGTTTAGACATTAATTTTGAATGCACATGAATTAAACGATATGTAGGCCTACTGAAACAAAGAATGAGATTGGACTAAAATCGTGTAAACATAAGCCTAATGAAAAGTTTTTTTTGTTTTTCTTTTTCTGTGGGCCATATTATTTAATTTTGACGTTGCATAGACTGTGCTATTATTTAATTGTTTGTCTCACAATTAATTGGTTGAAATAAAATTACAGATGACAAAGAACAGTTGTCAAACATTTCGTTGAACTAAATTTAAAACCAAGTTTTACATGATCTTGCACTCTATGCTAATGTCTGATTTGAAGTTGAAGTTTATAAACTGTGAAACCGCTTTCTCTTTGCACGAAATTGACCGCGATTAATTCCAGCTTTTCGTGCAATGAAGCGCGAACAGGTGTTCTATTGGTAACCATTTACTTTACATTTCACGTCATTTTTACCAATTTAGAAACTTTCTCCCTTTTGAAACCCTTGTGTGTAATGACTTAGGCTGAAATAGATTATTGTTGCTTTAATTTATTTGAACATTACTTATGTACCTATATACGAATAGCTATATAATGTAGAAAATGCTATTATTTTACATTTTTAAATATTTAAAATAAGATAATAAATGCCCCTTTTAAATCGACTTTTTGATTTAATAGCTGACATTCACGTTATTGATATTTAAGCAACTGAGGACTACGGAAAGGCAGTTGAAAAGTATGCTTTTAAAATATTTCGATTGCAATTTAAAGTTTTGTTCGTTAAATGATTTGGGGCTATTATTGTATTTCCGTTTGCTAGTGAAAGTAAAGAAAGACTGATGTTTAACACGGGACTCGTTTCTGAAATGTTCGTACTTTAAGTACTATTACGTACTATTAATATTAAGTCATATTAAGGGGTCCAACACCTAAAGACGAATTAGTAATGCTGCTAAAATTCGCATGATTTTCAGCCTTGCTGTTGCGATTGTTATTGATGCATGCTTTGTAGTTATTCTGCTTAAACTTTGAATGGCATACAATATTACATTAAACCTATATTATACAAGCAAACCTTTCTTTTACTCGATATTCAACGGGAAAATAATGTTAGCGATTGTTTTGTAAAAAAGGGTTTTGTGTTAAATATTTTAAAACAATTGCTAAATTAGTTTCCTGCATGCCAGCGTAAGATCTTGTGCCGTCGCCAGACATATAACACACAATTAAATGGGTGCAAAAGCTACATTTCACGTTTACAGCATATTATATTAATTACGTATTATTGTTATGTTTTAGTTAGAATGCATTAAATACTTTAAATCACAATGTCTTTTTTTCCCCAATTTTGCAAGTGAATAAAATTAAGGGGGGAATTATAGTCGTTATATTGCACACGGACCATGACGATCTTTTTAAATACATTATTATTTTTGTCCGATGAAAATATTCTTCGCCGTCCGTTTGGATATCATCATACTTATTTACATATTTATGTAGATTTCTTTAAGAGTTTTTAAAGTTTGATTTCCACGGCAGAAAAACGCGTCCTACCAGTGTGAAGAATCCAAAGCGAATGCATAAATAAAAGGAGTCTTTTTTTGGAGTCAGACCCCACGAGTAAGACCGATGTCAATACACACCCATTCTGTAACAGCGAAATCCCTTTCCCAATTAACAACTTTAGGCTGGTTGAAAAGTATTGCTTCCTTGTTTTAGAAGCAATGCTATATTTTTCTGCAATATACAGTATCATGTTAACTTTGCCTCATTTAAAATTGTAAGCCATTCTTCATTTGTTGTAATGAAAAGATGTTTTTAATATAATTGCTACACAAATTATATTAATAAAAAGATGTGTGCTTACGGTTTCAGCGGGCCTAATCGATTAAGGTAAACTGTAAGCCTATTGAGATTGTGTTACTTGAAGGACATCCTAACATTAATATCTAAAATTTTATGCAAGTCTTAAAGTGTAAAAAAAAAAGAAAAAGAAAAAAAAAATCCTGCCTTGCTTTTGCATTCAAATTTTGCTATGGTGTATTTTTAATCTTCACAAAGAAACCCCTTAAATGAAGGAAGTCATGGTTTTTAAAATCAGAATAGAAATGCACTCTATATTAACATTCAAATAAGACTTACACAACACATTTCTTTAACTGTTCTGTCAATTTTAAATTCTAGATTACATAAATACAATGTAGCAAAGACAAAAGTTAGGAAATGACTTTTACCTTTTTAAAATTAGTTATATACCATGAAGAAAAAAAATATTGAAATAATTCAGGCATTACAAATGACAATCCAAAGTTTATAATGATGCACTTTTTTGTCTGTGTAATAATCCAAACAGCTGAGGTGTGGCGAGCTGTATCCTTTAATTCAGTGCATAGTTAAACTGATTTGAAAATTTCTCATGTTTTCTCTTGTCCATCATGTTCATGACCTCTGTAACTCGTCTCATGGAGCTCCTATGAGGAAACAATGTGGTTGAGATTCAAATTCTTTATTTACTCATCACTCGTGAAATATACTGTTCACCAATATTCAATAAAAATATACTTGACTTCAGTTATCTCCAAATATAACCAAAAATATCAGGCCAATTGAGTGATTTTGTATTTAATCTTGAACATATACTATAACTTACTTGTTGAAGACTTTCTTCTCTAGTCTTGAACGAGATGTACTGGCATTTTGCTTTAAATCTGTAAGGTTTGGGTACTTTTTCTTTGACTTTCCTTTGTTGCCATTCTTTCCCTTCCCGTACGTCTTTGAGGAGCCCAGATCTTCTCCAGTCGCGGCTTCAATCTCCCTCATGAGCTCTGGGTCTCGCCAATCTGAACCAATGGGAGAAAGGTTGCTAGAATTTACATCAATGCACCATACATTTCTTCAAATATTTGACTTCTTCAAATCTTGAAAATAAGAAACTTCTTCAAATTCGAACTATGCATCATCTTTGTTAAATCATTTATCCCATGGAATATAAAGATGATCAAGGCCTCAGCCTTTGATTTTGGTATAATGAGTGATAGTAAAAATGTGTGATGGTAAGGACATTTTTTAACTTAACAGTGGTGAAAAAGTTTAATATAACTAGGACTGGAAATCATTCTAATATGCTGATTTGATGCTCAAGAATAATTTCTTATTTTCAGTGTTGAAAACAGAAAATCAATTTGTGGAAACCATGTTTTTTTCCCAGAACTCTGTAATGAATAGAAAGATCAAAAGAACAGCATTTATTTGAAATAGATTTTTTGTAACGTTAAGGTTTTTACTGTCACTTCTGATCAATTATGAATTTCTTTCAAAAATATTATTACTAAACTTTGTACAGTAGTGTATATAGATAGATAGATAGATGGATGATAGATAGACAGAAAAAGTAGCAATTAAGAGACACAGCAGAAAAAAATATATTTAAAAAGGTTCCATCCTTAAAAACGGCTTATTTGAAAAATTTTGTAGTAACAATTCCCCTCTTCAGAGTTGCTGATTTCTCCAAGAACAAATGCTTCGTAAATCTTTCTTGTGCAAGCTCAGGACTCAAAATCATCAACATTTCATTAAGCATGTCCTCTACTGAAGATACATGCATATCTTCAAATGATAAAATGGTAGCTGTTAAATTATTTACAGTTTCCAAAGTGTTTAATTGCACAGAGTACTGTAGTGAAAAGCATGCATGCAACAAATGCCTTTTAAATGAATATGGAGGAGTTGGTCGTCCCTATAAGGATTTATGGAGGTGAAAGGCCCCCGTTACATGAGTGCTACAATCCGTCCTCACTTAAGTCAAGCCTTTAGGGGCTTCATTCTTGCTGTGAGGATGATGGGGGGCCCTGCGTTTAACTTAAGCTGTGCAGCAGGTCTGACTACTCTGTCAACAGTTCGCATCTGCATAAGTCGGGCACACATGAGCATCACAGGCAACAGCTGCAGTCAGCCTATTTGATTATCTATAGAAAACACATTTAAACACAAAAATGCTATGATAAGATGGTTGTGAAGTGCACAGTAATATTGTTCTTCGGGAGATTTGCACCAGTCCAGACTATTCTGGGTTAAATATAAATTAAGTTACAGAAATAATTGACTTCTAAATGGCAAAAATTGGGGTTATGGTGAGGCAGAAATGTGAACCTTATAATTTTATAAAGGCCTTTATATGTTAATTTTTCTGTTAAAACTTGCATTATTTCAGCTTCAAAGCTGTTCTCGTCAATTTTACAGCCATTTTATAGTTTATCACAGGGGTGCCCAATCCTGTTCCCAATCTCCCTTCCTGCAGAGCTCAGTGCAAACCCTGCTCCAACACACCTGTCTTTAATTATCAAGTGTCCCTGAGACCTTAATTAGCTGGTTCATGTGTGCTTGATTTGGGTGTGAGTAAGAGTTTCAGTGTCATGAAATTGACCCCATTCTATTGTAATTGTCTCACTGTAACATATTTTTGTTTTTCTAATATAAAAGGAGGAAAATATGTGTTTTAGACAACAATTATGACACAGATACTGTCAACTGTTAAGCTATTTTGAAGGAATGGAATATTACTTAAAGACAACAGACAGCAGCTCTAAAGCCAGAAACAATTGCTTGGCCGACACATTCCTTCAAATGTATTTGCCACTGACATGGGATGTGTAATTATTCTAACTAAAGGCATGTTGACAGTTTAATTAACTTTCAGGTATTTGATATTAAATGACCTGCACTTATCATCTGATTGTGGTTGTATCTCTCTATTTGTGCTACTGTCTCTTAGCGCTGCACTGAAAAAACATTTTCATTCATCCAATTAAAAAAATTTAGGGTAATGATTCACCCTAAGGGCAAGTTATTTATTTTTCATTGGCTCAAGTTAAAAAATATAGATGTGAATCATTACCCTAAATTTTTTTAATTGGATGAATGAAACATTTTTTTCAGTGTGAGTTCAACGCTATCGACCACTACATTCTTTTGAATGGACTAGAAAATTATGCTGGCATTAGTGGAATTGCATTGCCATGGTTCAAATCATACTTATCTGACCGTCATCAATTCGTAGCAGTGAATGAAGAGGTATCATATCGATCACAAGTGCAGTATGGAGTACCACAAAGCTCAGTACTAGGACCATTGTTTTTCACACTTTACATGCTACCCTTGGGAGATATCATCAGGAAGCTCTACACTTAGCTCTACATTTCTTCACAACCCGGACAAAACATACCAATTCGCAAAACTAACAGAATGCATAGCTGATATAAAAAACTGGATGACTAGTCATTTTCTACTGCTAAATTCTGAAAAAACAGAGGTGTTAATTATCGGACCAAAATACTTTGCATGTAATAATCTAGAACACTGTCTTAACACTTGATGGCTGCTCTGTCAATTCCTTGTCATCAGTTAGGAACCTAGGTGTGCTGTTTGATAGCAATCTTTCCTTTGAATGTCATGTTTCTAGCATTTGTAAAACCACATTTTTCCATCTTAAAAATATATCTAAATTATGACCTATGTTATCAATGTCAAATGCAGAAACATTAATATAACCTTGAGGTCATAAACGCATTAATTATTTTAATGCTTTTTTTGGGTGGTTGCTCTGCATGCTTAATAAACAAACTCCAGCTGGTCCAAAATGCAGCAGCTAGAGTTCTTACTAGATATCAATATGTATTATTACTAGATATGTATATATTAGCCCAGCTCTGTCAACTCTGCACTGGCTCCCTATTAAACATTGTATTCATTTTAAAATCTTGCTAATTACTTATAAAGCCCTGAATGGTTAAGCTCCTCAGTACTTGAGCGAGCTCTTATTGCATTACAGTCCTTCACGTCTGCTGCCATTTGATAATACCTAGAATCTCAAATATCAAAACTCTGACCATTTGATAATACCTAGAATATCAAAATCAACTGCAGGCGGCAGATCCTTTTCCTATTTAGCACCCAAACTCTGGAATAACCTACCTAACATTGTTCGGGAGGCAGACACACTCTTGTCAGTTTAAATCTAGATTAAAGGGCCATCTCTTTAACCTGGCTTACACATAACATAGTAACACACTTCTATAATTCAAATCCGTTAAAGGGTTGTTAGGCTGCATTAATTAGGTCAACCGGAAACGGGAACACTTCCCATAACACCCGATGTACTTGTTACTTTGTAAGAAGAATGGCATCTACGCTAATATTAGTCTGTTTTTCTCTAATTCTGAGGTCACCGTAGCCACCAGATCCAGTCCGTATCCAGTCCAGATGGTGGATCAGCACTTAGCGAAGACCTCTTCAGGCCTGAATGTCAGCGGAGACCATGCCAACTAGGCGAACCCTAGAGACAGATCCCCTGCGAAGCCCTCGTCAGCCATCGGCTCAAGACCATGAGAACCAGACGAGTCCTCTGCTCAATCTGACGTGCGTTGCAGCCTGGAATTAAACCACACCATGCTGGTTTCGTCTGGCCAGAGGAGAACTGGCCCCTGACTGAGCCTGGTTTCTCCCAAGGTTTTTTTTTTTTCTCCATTTCTGCCACTGATGGAGTTTTGGTTCCTTGCCACTGTCGCCTTTGGCTTGCTTAGTTGGGGACACAATTTCTGGCAACATTGTTGACTTGACTGCACAGACACTATTTGAAGAGAACTGAACTGAGCTGGACGATTACATCACTGAATCAACAATGAACTGACTTTAACTGATAAACTGTTTTCTATTGTCCTCTTGCATTATCAGCACACATTTTTTCTGTTTAATACTGTAAAGCTGCTTTGACAATCTGTACTGTATAAAGCTATATATAAATTCATATCAGTACCTCAAACATATTATTAGCTCAATGGTACAGCATAGGTGTTAGATCTGAGGTCACACTTACAAGTATGAGCACCACTAATGATACAAACGAGAAATTTACATTAGACACACTGAAACAAATACAGTGTTCAGAATCACGTGCGACTGAAATATTTTGGGAAGCCTGAAGCCTGAAGCAGAAATCAATGGCGCACCAGGGGAGCAAGTGTTCAGTCTGTGAACTGATGGACATCATGGGCACACCAGCAGCGCAGCAGAACGGGTGGGGTGGCCTGTGGTTACCCTGACAACTGGCATGTCGACGGGGAGAGGGCGTGATGGAGTCACGGGGATCGATAGCTTACTTAGTTACAAAAGATGCTATTTCACAAGCCAGTGGTCAGCAGGCCCCTGAAGTCAGTTGCCTCAGATAACTGTTTGTTAACAAGTAAACTGTGGCCAAAGAAAGCACATCCGACGCTCCAGTGACAGCATGGAGAAGCTACTTAATTGGCTTTTAGCACCCGACTCCACAAGAAAAGAAACCCAAGCAAGAAGGAGAAAAGTGAAAAGCTGAGAGGCAGAGTGAGATGCAGCCTGTCCTATTATCGAGTATTGATGATGACTTGGATGGGATTCCATCAGTTCATCTCTTCCTGGAGTCTCACAGCCACCTGATTGGGCTGTTGACCACTCAGCGTGTTATAAAGAAGGAACTGTGGGTAATGGAGGTCTAGGATTTCACCTGGATACTGGTTACTAAAGGACTTTTGACAGTGAAAAAGCCTTTGGGGGTCTTCAGCACTGGGCTGACAAAACATGAAAGAAGAGTATCAAGCTTTCAGGTTTGGTGTGCGATATTAATTTGGCAAGAGTGCATGCCTTAAGAGTTTTGCAAAAATGTAAGTAGTAGTTCAGCACATTTTGTTAGAATTTACTCATTTTGTGTCCACAGATGTAAGTCTTACACCTGCAAATACACGAGATATTTTGAAGAATTCTCATGCTGCTCTTTTCCATACATGTTTACATGCAGCCAAATAATCAATTTGTAATGGACTGATGGATTAATTGGACTGAAAAGACAATGTAAACATCTCAGTCGATCTGACTGAGATCGATCTGAATGAAATTTCTACTGGGATTTAATGAGGTGATGAAGACTCACAATAATCTTATCAAGAGGAAAAAATAGGCATGTAAACACCTGAATCTGACAATTGTCTCTATCATATCATATTCAAACATACCTTGCCCACATGCACAATGACATGATGGTTATGTTTACATACAATTAACATCTTACAAAATGGTCAGAGGAGGAGAATTAATATTTACTAAATATTTGCTAAAAAGCTCTTCTGAATTAAATGTCAGCTTTGTTTAGAGATATGTCATCAAGACCCCATTGGCATCATCCTGGTGGCTTTCTCTGATGCTGAACACAGTGACTGGGTTTTGTTTGGAATACATGTAAAGCACATGTAAAACGAATATTTGAATTGGACTGCAACATTTAGGGGTCAAATAAACAACTTTCAGAATCTGAAATTTGAATAATTCATATTTAAAAAAATAATATATGTAAACATGCTTCAGAATGACAATAAAAAAAAAAATAATAATAATTTGATCCACAGTACCTAGTAAATGATGATTGAATTTTCATTTTTGGGTGAACTATCCCTGTAGGTAACTATCACTGTTGATTACTGTCATTATTGTTAAAATAATTGTTAATTGTTAATATTGTTAAACAGGTTGCATGAATGATCTAACCTGGCTGCTCCTCCTCACGCTTCCTCTTTTCCTTCTCCAATCGCAGTGCATCTTCTGGGTTAACAGGCCTGCCCAGCTCATCCCGAGGGATAATGTGCCCATGGAAGGGGCACTGAAATTACATCTCATTTAATTAATCAGTTTATTCAATCAGTGTCTTGCTTATATCTATTTATTTACATCAGTGGTCACCAACCTTTTCAAGCCCAAGATCCCTGACCTTAGCCTTTATGAAAGACAAGATCTACCGATTGAAGAATTGATAGAAAAAGATTGTACTTCCAATCTGAGGCCTTTTATTTAGTATTTTCATTAGTGATGCATCGATCATGATTTTTCAGAATTCGTTTTTTTTTTAAGCAAATGTATTATTTGGTTATTTAATCTATAACAAGCAAGCTGGCCTTGCTTAAATATATATATATATATATATATATATATATATCTTTAGCCATTTTTAATTAAAGGCAGCCACTGAATTTTAATCATGATTCAAACAAAGATGCTGCACACGTTGCATGAGCTGTTTTTTTGTTTGTTTTTTAAGTAGATTGTACAATTTCAGGATTTAAAGCAAAAAAAGAATGGTCCTGACTTTAGCTTTGTTAAATTATGCTGCATAAAACATGTCTGCATGAAAAAAAAACAAAAAAAACAGACGGCCTGAATGAGATGCAAATTCACTCTCTGACAGCAGGTGGCGCTTATGGAACAGCAGGTATACAGCATTTCCTTGGTTACCACTGTAAACAAAGCAGCAATACTATATACCAGTGCTTCTCAAAGTCCGGACTCCGGTCCGGATCCAGACCCGGAGGGAATTCAGTCTGGACCCACCTCCATTTCATATTTCAAGAACACAAATTATTTCCTACTTTGATAAACGCATGTTAAACTTGTAAATGATATGTTTAGTTTTTTAATGTCTTTTTGGAGATGGTCCGAAATGAAAGCGAAGGCAAGATATTGAAACTTTTCCTTCATGACATTTGTTGTCATGACATCCAGTGAGCGTATGACTTTTGACCTACTACTACTACTATTACCATCTTGTGCCCTGCAATAATCATTTACTCAAACTCGCTTTTATGAGATAAAGAAGAAAAAAAAAATCTGCCAAACATATCGGCCAAAAAAATCAGCATCATATATCACCCATCGGCTGCCCTGATTTCTAAATATCGATCGGCCAGAGAAAAACCCTTATCGGTCGACCTCTATTGCTGACACTTAAATTAATTGTTTTGCCACTTTTGCACTTTATTTTTTTCAAAAAAATAATGTTTATTTGTTATGCATGTTATGTATGTTTATTAAAAACATGTTTTGTAATAACCAATTGTTCCGGTCCGGACCTTTGACTGATGAAAATTCAGATTTGGACCTTTGAATGGAGACTGAGAACTCCTGCTATATACAGAGGTAAGAGGAGAAGAAAATGCCATTGCTATTCGAAACTTTTATGATGACAGTCAGTTCCCTTCAGCGATACATTCATATTACCCCTCAACCCCCAATTCAGTATTTATATTTTCTTCCTATATTTCGAGCATCATGAACAGTGAGCTGCAATGCTGGCTACCCGTCGCGATCCATGGATTGGCGACCACTGATTTACATCATGAAATAAGAATATGTTTCTACCGTTCTACCAAACACAGCTAAATATGGGCCAAAATGTTCAGTATTACATCTCTTCTGTGTATTTTTTTAGGGCATCATTATTGTTACTTTACTGACCTTTACTCTATCTTGACGTTCACACAAAGATCCATCTGGCATTGGTGCGTTGCACTTGTGCTCCACAGGTTTAAATTTCCCAGCAAAGGTGATGTATCTAGACTTCATCTCTGCGGACAGTTCCTCATTTTCAACTTCCTCCTCCACCTCATGAGGCACCCAGAACTGGTGCTGTGATGCATTCCTAAAAACCAGTGAGGACAGGGTCTTAACTACAGGAACTGCACAAACTCTATCAATGTGTGATCTTTGACAATTACATTTTTTAAAGAATTTGCCTTCATAAAGTGCATTTTTTGCAGGTGAAATATTTTAGGGGTGAGCATAACTAGTAAAATGTATTTTTAGTATAGAAATGTTCATGATTTTCTCAGGACTTTTATAGATTTCCATGAATTTTCCAGGCCTTAAAATGACAATTTCCAGGTTTTCCATGACCGTAGGAAAACTATATTTTACAAGTATATCTTGTTTCAGGATGTCAAAAAGGTAAACCTCCAGATCAATGTTTTCATCATTTAATTTTGAGGAATAGGAGTTGATCTGAAGACAGTGAGCATACAATGCTGCTCTCTAGTGGCTATATCACAAATACCACAATCCATTCATATTTCAGAAAGAGACTGATGAATGTATTATGTAAAACATTCCCAATGTTTTTTATGAATGAGACTGTACTTGATGATTTTGCCAGCGGTGGGCTGCTCCTCTCCCCAGTAGTAAAGATCCACACCAAACGGAATGACAGGGGCCTTAACAGAGGCTTTGTCTTTGTCACTGCTGCTCACCGCGACCTCAGTAGAGCCCCCAGACATACTGAAACAACCAGAACACACTTAAATCTCCATCATAAAAAACAACAAAAGTTTTTATTTTATTTTGTATTTTAAATACTATATAAAATATATTTTTATGAATATTTCCATACGAAAATTAGGAAAAAACATATATATAATCTGTTTGTTTTTTAATACAAAACGCAAACAAATTTAACTCTGTATTTGTAGTAAGTGTAGAAGCGCACTTTTGTTGAAAGGTTATTGTCAGAAATGTAATGTTTTTGTGAAAGACTAATATATAACGGAGTGTCTATTTACACTAAGTGCAAATAGCCCGCCTTGTTGGCAGAGGCTATTTACACTAGCTCCACCCACAAACGTGTGATAGGGATGGTCAATACTATAAAAGATGGCAGCCAATCGTCAGCTCCAGTGGCATAGATGGTAAAGCGCGTATCGTAGTCTTTTTGACACGATCGACCCGGGTTTGGATCCGTCTTTTACTGAACTTTTTTTCCTCCCTTTTCAAATCTCATATCACATCGGAAAGGCATTTATTTTCAATAAAAAATTAAGGAAATAATCAAAAAGTTGAAAATAATGTATCGGGTAGGGTTAGAGTTGGTGTAGAGAGGGCTTTATTGTCCCAATAAGGTGGCATCCATTTAATAATTTGAATTAAAATTATAATTTACACTCAATATGTTATTACTGCATACTGTTTTATAATGTACTATAATACTGAGGTGCAGATAATTGCCACTATTTGCAATAAGTAGTATAAATAGCAAAAAATCTTGCTATTTTAACATAGTGTAAATAGAATATCGCTATCTGCACTTAGTGTAAATAGCATCTATCGCTAAGAAAATATGCTATTTACACTAAGTGAAAATGTCGCTACATAAAATTGCATTAAAAAGACTTATTGCCTGACCACTAATAAAAGTACTGTATACTACAATACTATATTATATATTGGCAGCGGCTATTTGCACTAAGTGTAAATAGCAACTGCCAATATATAATATAGTATTGTAATACAGTACTTTTACTCTTACAGTACTTTTATTAGTGGTCAGGCAATAAGTCTTTTTAATGCAATTTTACGTATATTTATATTTAAAATAGCTGAAATTAATTTACTTTTGTTTTAAAATTTGAAAATATTTGAAATATTTGAAAACATTCTAATGCTTAACTAATATTTTAGATTTTCACTGCTAGGATTCCATTTATTATTATTATTTTTCTTTTCAGCCCTACTTTACCAGTCTATGTTAACTGATAAAATAGGGCATGGGAGTATAGATCACCTTGTGGAAGGAGTAGAATAAAGTCTCTGTTTGAGTGCACGCAGCGTTGCAGCAGCACAGGTGGGGTCCTGCTCTTCATCATGCATCTTCCTCTTGAGTCGAGAGAGACTGGAGGACACAAGAGGAACAGGATGTGTGACCACAGGTTTTGATGGCTTTGCTGTGGCCCCATCGGTTGACGTCGAGGGAGTTTCATCAAGCCCTATGAGAGACAAGAGGAAGAAGGGAAAAAACCATGATGTTATGTAAAGTCAAATACTCAGAACACAACATTCAATCTTTATTAATACGGATCTCACAACATCCACTTGTACTGTAGTCTAATGGACTGGGGGGGGTTCTAAGCAGGAGTAAGCAGGGGCTTAAGGTGGTCTTACGAGTGACACAAAGATCTAAGACTCACGCTTAAGCTTTCTAGCTTCCAGAATGAGATGAAATTAAAAACAAGTATGGTGAATTCCTCATAAGACTGATGATTAAGAGACACCTGACCACTATACACAGACAAATGGCCAAGTGGGTATATGAGAAGCCTGATCTGCTCTTATTTCTTATCAACAAATATGGTTTTCAAAAGTGCAAAATCAAAAAAAAAATTCAGTATTTTCAGATACATTTATCTGAAATGCCTATTTCAAATACAATATTTTTTAAGTCTTTGAAAAACAATCAAAATATTAATGTGCATTAAACATATTACGGTTTGGTATTTGTATATTTTCAAAAAACATAAAATACATTGTGCCAACCAATCTGTTCATTAGGTTGCAGATTTCCTAGTTCAGGCCCATCAGACCCCAAATTTCCTGCACGTGAGCTGCAGATGTGAGAGAAAATGCATTATCCTTGCATTCAGTGAGCAAATTATCTGCATTTCTGTACGGAAATATGGAGTAGGGCTGGGACTCGATTCCAAAATAAGTATTTTTTCAATTCCGAGGTGTTGAGATTCTAGCATCGATTACACACACCTTAAGTCCTTAGAAGAGTCTTATTCAGTAAAACAACAGCGTTAATATTCAACTCGCTATCACAAAAATCCAGACATCAGTTGTTACAGTAGTAGTAACCTGTTACAAAAGCGCCTATTTTATTATTATTTTTTTTATATTTTAAATATTTTAAACATATATGCAATGTTATTTATGAAGTATTGCAATCTGATGTTGTTACTGTGTGAGGAGATTTCTGTACAATGACACCAGTATTTTACATTTTGTCCACTGTATGTGTGCAAGGTGAACATTAAAACTTGGGTGTGTGAAGTTTTGGCGAAAAATTCAAAATATGCTCCGTATGATGTTACTTGTCGCTTAATTTTTATATTTGAAACTAATGATTAAATTAAAAATGTCTCCATCAAAAAGATCAATTATACAAATTTTCACAGTAGTAGTAAATATAGCTGTACACAATAATATTATGCCTTCATGAACAATAAGTCTTATTTTTCAAATATATAAATATCCATATATGTACACACACACACACACACACATATATATATATATATATATATATATATATATATATATATATATATATATATATATATATATATATATATATATATATATATATATATATATATATATATATATATATATATATATATATATATATATATATATATATATATATATATATATATATATATATATATATATATATATATATATATATATATATATATATATATATATATATATATATATATATATATATATATATATATATATATATATATATATATATATATATATATATATATATATATATATATATATATATATATATTTATTTATTTATTTATTTATTTCATAAAAGTTTGTACTTTACAACTGACCAACACTGCTGAAAACAGTCTCTAGTAATCACACATGATCTCTGTTACAAAGTTTTTTTGGTTTGTTTTTTGTTTTGTTTTTTTTTGCAATAAGAATTGGAAATATTTGTTCAGAATCTATGGAACTGAACATGGAATTGAGTCAATTCTGTCAAAATCAAGTCAAAATTTCTGGTAAGAATGATGTATTGGTTGATTTGATTGTTACAAAAAAAATCAGTTTATTATCTATAAAATATTAAGTTAGCTAGGACATTCTTCACTAGCCAATGCAATGTGTATCAGCAGTGAGGAAATAAAAACTAGTCAGCAGCCAGGTAGCAAACTATTCTAACTATTAGCAAGTTCGCTAGCTAGCTACACTAGCCTAATATAGTGATACCTCACTGAATGGCCAATTGTACATGTATTTCCTGTATTTTAAAGATATAAAATACTGTATTTGTATTTTGATACATTTTTGATAAATACTTGAGGTATTTTGTTACATTTCCTGCAAATTCAAGTCTAATCACTTGTTTCTTTAGAACAAATATTTACAAGGCTGTGCTGATGTGTCGATTACTTTAGCATATCACATATCACTAACCCTAAATATTAGCAAAAGCAACAGGTAATTTGGTAATACCAGCAGTTCAGTTCAACAGATGGAGTGGGTTACAAAAGACAATAAATTATGGTCTCAGGACAGGATGAGAAAGATATGTTCTTACAATCCTGATTGTAATCATCTGGTGTATACATTAATCCAGGTTCACTCCCTTTCAATGACTTACTGCATCATAGCGGCATGCAGGTGTGCAAAATCATGAAATACGACCAAAAGCTTTCTTTTTCTGTTCAAATTGACCAAAATGGTAGCTATTTGTCTGAAGCAATAAAGTTGCAGATGCTAAAGAGATAAATCAATAAGAGGAAATAGAGAGGCCCAGCAGTAGACATAGAGTTGAGCTGCCAATGGTGGCGTTATTGATTTTCCTGAGTTCAACAGGCCTTGTAATTAAAATGTAAATTTTGAGAGAGATAACGTCCTGACAGGAACGCTAGGATAAAGGGATAGATAAAAGCTCTGTAGTGAAAGGAATGGAGAGAGAGAGAAAGGAGGAGTAGAACAGACAAAATGCTTTTCAAATGAAAGTGTTTCTCTCCGGATGAGGAAGCCGATGTGATTTTGACAAAAGAAAGGGAAGGATTAGCCAGAGATGAGCTCGAATCCAGTGACAGGTTGATGTAATATTAAATGAAACTGCTGATGCTAAATTGCGCTGATTGATAAATTTGAAATCATGGAGTTAACTTGGCAGTAAATCAGAATTTTTTTTTTTTTTCTGCGTCCCGTTTTAGGAATATTTAAATTATACTGCGAATGGTTGCACGCTCAATACATGCAACACCTTTATACATCTTTTCACATTTATTTCAATAGAAAAGAAATGACGCGACTCAAATCAGTCTCACATCTGATTTACTGTGGTAAAAGATGACTAGTTTAAGGTAAGCATCAATATTACTATTGCTCATATTTGGGGGTTAAGGACTAGAACAATCATAAGGATTAAACTTCAGCACATCCTACATTCGTTGTGCTACAGATATGAAGGATAATTCAAAGTATGCACTGTTAAAGAGAACTACTGCTTTTCTAAGTGATCATAAAGACTTGGGCATGGGCTCTTTTGACTTGGGCAGAAAATAAAAAAACCTTTACAACCACATAGGAATGCTGTAAAAAAGTAAAACAAAATGTTAAACATCTAGTTTGTATTGGCATTTGTATGATATATGTTTAAGTTCAGCATAATCCAATCTCAGACGAGTACACGGTTTTGTAGGTGAACAGTTTAGCGCACAGAGGTAAATTACCACTCTAAGCTAATGGGCGCTCATTAACAACATTGCATTGTTAATTTGGCATGGCCAGTGCACTGATCACTACATACTTTACTGCAGAAAGCAGCTTGGCTCTGTGAAGCTGTAGAAATATCCTAATGAATCTTCACTTAGTGCCCGTTTAGAGATGCTGAAAGGAAATGAATGAAGAAAGAGAACAGGAGAGTCTGGTGAAATCATATTGCATCTCATAATTAGTGTGTGGCATGGAGCTCATCATGCATTACCAGGAAAATCAGGAAATTACTAAACTACTTCCAAAGTGCATGCTGTTTCTACAAGAACTGCAGAAATCCCATTAGCCACTGAAATAGATTATTTTCATGACAGTAAATTTAAAATTGGACAGGATTTGAGGTCAAATATAATCTGTGTTATTTAGCTTGTGTCTGACCTATTGCTTGACCTCTGTCTTTTGCCTGTGGCTTCTTGTCAATAGAGCTGTCCTTGCACAGATGGACAAGAATCTTTTGCATGTACAAATAGTCAGCTGTCAAAACAGATTTCTATTGGCGGCCCCAGGTTATAATTGATTTAAACCAGGCTTAAAGCAATTTATTACCTTTCAAATAGATATCAGAGTTTTAAAAGAGCAGTTAAATGTTTTTAAAATGAATGTGATATTATTTTGCTCTCATATTTGACCCCAAATTATTCTCAAATGGAAAATTAAATTAAAGGCAGTACAATAAATTCCAAATACTACTGTGATGTATAAATGTTTTACAATTTAAACTTTAAAAATTTAACATTTAGGGGGAAAAGAGCTTAATTGTCATTAAATAATGTCACAATGCAAAAATAATAGATATTTTGTCTTATTTATTTATATATTTTAGTTTTATTTATTTAGGTCATATTTTGTTCATTTCCCCCCCTTTTATTTTGTAGAAAATTGTGACCTGGCAATGTTCTTGACAGAGTTTATGAGTCTCACCTTTATAATAATGCACCATATTTATTAATAATATATGAATCTGCTATCTTTCCAATTAAATTCACTGTCAACCTATTTTTAAAGTAAAACTCATAGTTAAAAACAGCACAACTACCACAAGTTGTACATTGCTTTGAGCACAAATGCTTCATGCTTTACACCTTAACTCTAAAAACAAACTTTCCTTTGCGCTTTGAAGCTTTTCGACAGCTAACCGTTTCTAACTAAACTCACCACTGTGCTCTTAATTCCACATTTAAATATCCTGCTGCTTTAAGCCCAAAACTACAAACAAACAGTAATCCCCAGAGGACTTTTCAGCTCATATCTTCTTTGAAGCAGCCACTATAAGTGTGTGGCGATATCCTATGAGAGATTATTTGGATTATGCAAGATCCTATAGAGAAAGCAGTCCCTTTACTGATGAAACAGGTTTGTCTTATTGCATTAGGCTTCACATCTGCACCTGAACAAACTCACCATACTCTGCACGCAGATGTTCAGGAATATGAGGTTCATAGCCCTCCTTTTCTGGCACGTCTACAAAATCATCGTCGTCATCTTCTCCATCCTCAGGAGCTCTCATCTAGCTCGGGAAAAAGAGAGTCACTTTAAAGCCAAGATAATAACTAACACCTAATAGAGATGGTAACATGTGAGGGAATTAAGTAACAATGAGTCTATTTTTCTTGTTTTACTCAAACATTTGCATTTTACTTTGAAAATGCTATAAAAACTACTGTTGCAAAACATTTACTATTTTTTGTCATTCTCAAAACAATGCTTGTTTGCCGACAGTTTACAAAGGATGTCTGCAATTCTCTCCTGGCTGATTAACACTCAGATGGGATATTCACTGTGGCCTCGGGATATTCCAGAGATTTACAGCACTATGAATGGCAAACTCTGCAGTAACGTGGGACATCTTAACATTTTAATTCAAAGCCTTAATAGAATTTCCAGTTGACCACATCCAATTTTTTTCCTAGTGGTAGTCAATCTGAGCATTGTCCCAGCTAACTGTGACCACATAAAATAATAGTTATGTTAAACAGACTTTTCCCAGCATCTGTCAGCACGCAAAGGAGATAATAATAATTTCAGACAATAATAATTATTTGCAATGTTTCAGAAAATAGGGCTACATGAGTCTATTGACAACCCAAAATAAACTAAAGCTGCTGATGGATGCATACTTAATATTGGGTGTCTTAGTCTTGGCTAGATATGGTGAGGTTGAGTTGTTACTGATTACATCTTTGTGCAGGTTGTTCTACGAAAGAGCAGGGCGAACAAGGTGATACGATTTTTCCTCTGAAGTTCTGTGTTCACATCATGCAATCACTGTAAGCAGATCAAGTCAACACGAGGCACCGGATAAACCCATCTTAAAGGTGATTCAAACCAGATCCTGGCTTTAAGTACCTTTGACTAGAAGAGAAGTTATGGCTTCTCTGATCTTATGTGTATCTATAGTCAAGGTAAGCTGAAAAGCTTTCATAAATCTCAAGGTTTGGATATATATATATATATATATATGTATATATAAAGAAGAAAATGTGGTGGAGAATAATGAACATTTAACTTGTGTTTAACTTGTGTTTCAATGAATTAGTATTCATTTAAAATAAGCAGTACTGTGTATGTCTTATTAAATATAATTAAATTGTAAGTAACATGTTTATGTCAGTATTATATCAGCCATCAGCCCCAATACTCTCTAGATACTGTTATTTGTATCAGCATTTAAAAAACCCACAATCGATCAACAATAGATCTGAAGTATCATCAATGTCCGTACCACAATGCAGGGCAGTTAAGTGCCAAAGTTTAATATTTATAGTTACTAACGCCAAGTATGTTCATGACTAAGCAAACACAACTAATTAAAAAAAAAAGCATAATCATATTGTAGGTGTCTTTAAGTGCTGAAGACGATGGTGACTGGCTCATGGATTCAGGAGGCAGGTGAGCTTTATTCTGCTCTCCCTCCAAGCATCTACTGCTGCCATCTGCACCTGCTCATCCATCACTCGCGCTGTAAGTTTTGTTATCACTCTAACACTAATCAAAAGAGAAAACTGTCACTGCCACTGACCTGTGGAACCTCCCAATTATGCTCTTCAAGAGTGACAGCAGCACTTAACTTCCACTGCCGGGTAAATGACCACCATCAATCTAAACAGAATAGCAATGAACCACCGGGCTGCAAATGATTTTATTTTTTTGGTACAGAAATCCCCAGCCTGGAATTTATGAAAGGTGAAAAGCAACTCAAGGCTATTTTATTCTCCTCCTCCTGGACCCCACTCCTTATAGCCGAGGGTGTTCAGACTCCTGGGGAGACGACGTCTGCATTAGTGCTAAACAGAATTTATGCCTTTTAATTTACTCAAAGGGTGCTTAAGCGGCCCGTGCGCTACAATGCATAACAGAATGCCAGTTTTTAAATATGGGGGTCGTTGGTATAAAATGGTATATATAATCTGTGTGCCCTTCGTTTTCGAAGGTATTGCTAAAGTGTACAGCTCTAGCGTGCCTTTTCCATTTTTTTCTGTATAATTGTCTCCATGATTACCTTAACATAAAGTACTAAAGATTGTAGCTTGCTTTGCTTTCGTTCATTTTTTTTTCTTTTTCATTATTGCAGGCAGACTATGTTGATAATTCCAGACTGAGGTATAAACTGTCTTTGCATGAGGTCTCAATTATGTAGACTGGTGGCGTTGGTTCAGAAATAAGCCCTCTATGGCGAACACAGAAATATCTGTGTTTTGTGTGGTTATGAAATAAAATAATTCCTTCACTTCACACTCAAGCCCTGTAGTCTCCACCTAAAATTTGTAATACAATGAAAACTGATACTTTAAAGTCAACATGATATCAAAATGACCCTATTTACCTTAAAGGGTTAGTTCACCCAAAAATGAAAATTAGCCCATAAATTACTCACCCCCGAGGCATCCTAGGTGTATACGACTTTCTTCTTTCAGACGAATCCAGTCGGAGTTATATTAAAAATTGTCTTTGATCTTTCAAGCTGTTTAATGGCACTCAGTGGGTGTTGCATGCATCAGTCCAAAAGAAGTGAAATAAAAATCGCCCATCCATAAAAAAAAGTGTCTCACACGGCTCCGGGGGGTGAACAAAGGCTTCCTGTAGCGAATCGATGCGTTTTTGTAAGAAAAATATCCATATTCAAAACGTAATAATCACTTTAATGTAGCTTGCTCCAACAGTTGTACACAGAAGCAGCTCAGCGCAGCTCAGCGGATGACGTATGAGTTCAGCGTTGAGTAATTTATGGGCTAATTTTCATTTTTGGGTGAACTAACCCTTTAATACTTTATTAAAATGTGGTAACTTGCTGTACGTCTTTCCTTTACAGCAGATGTCACAAAACCCTTTTACTTTTAACCCCCCTCCTCCAAACACTCCTAGTCCAGACACCTAGTTTGTAACACCTACTTTTGTCCAAACCACTAAATTGTTTTATCTGCATATCCTGATTCATCCAGAAATGTATCAGATTACGATTCATTTTAGATGAAGGTTGATCAGTATGTTCACTGTGACCCTTGTACTCAGGGTAAATACATTAGCCTATAAGAGTTTTTTTTTTCACTACACACAAACTGCATAGTTCACCCACTGTCTGTACCAGTGGCGAAGCTACTTTGAATAGCTACTGTGGCCCGACCAATGATAAGTTGGTAATTTTCCAAATGAATGTAATTTATTAAACAATAAAAATAATTTATTACTCTAACTTTATATATTTAGATTTAGGTTTTTTTTAAATGTAAATGCAAGCTTTCAAGGTCAATTGCAGTCAGTTTATTCATTTTCCCTCTTCCTATTGTTTCATACCATAGGCTTGTCAAAATGATGATTCATCTTATTTCTGTTAGTTCCACCCATGATGTTATGATAAATTTTGGTTTGACTGTATCTATTTGATAAATGAAGTTAACCAACTAACGTTATACATACCCTTTTGGTTTCTGTACCCAATATTTAAAAAATTTACAAATGCAATAAAAATATCGGTATCGGCATCGGTATCGGCAAGTACCAAAAATAAAAGTATCGAGGGCGAGTGCTGGAAAAAGTGGTATCGGTGCATCCCTAGTTTACAACGTAAGGACATAATCGTAAGATGCGTGCGTTTGTGGAGTTGAATTTGAAAATAGTAAAACAAATATCAATCAGTCAATTTTTTAAAAAGTATATATTGGAAACTAAGTCTTAGCGATGAATCCGGACATACAATTGAAACCTAACCACCTGCGGGTGATAGATTTATAGATTAGAAACTAGCCAAGCATGTCTGAAACATCATATTAGCATAGGTACAGTGTTTGATCAGCTAAATTTGTGTGTCTTTTGTAGAGAGAAACACATAAACATTGTGCTAGACACTGTTCTCCACAACAACTGCATATTTGCACGGTCTCCTTTGAACGCAAACTGACAGACACACTTGATTATGAGATGAGCTTAACCCAAATCCCTGTTGTCTCAGACTGAGGTAGTATTTTACAATAAACTTACTTTAGTTAAAGTTAATTAAAGCATTAACTTACATTAACAATGAGCAGTACATTTAGTTACAATATTTATTAATCTTTGTTAACATTAGTTAATAAAAATACAACTGTTCATTGTTATTTTGTGTTAGGTCAGGTACTAATGTCAACAGATACAACTTTTAATTTTAATAATGTATTAGCAAATGTTAAATTAACATTAATGTTAATCAATGCATTAGAAGTATTGTGTAGAACTATTTTGTTGGTACATGTTAATGTAACAAATAAAAGCTTATTGTAAAGTGTTATAGGCAACTATAGACATTTTTCCAAACAATAACTCAAATAATGTTTATACTGTCATTATACTAGACAGACAATAGGCATTTTATTGTTTGTTTTTTCAGAGTTATATATATGGGTTGTTTTGATATTTTCTGTTTTGAACCTTTGTGCTGTATTTTCTGTTGGCAATGCTGTTTACACTTTGTTTTATGTACAGGCCCACCCACTTAAACATTTCTGGCTTCGCCCCTGGTCTGTACTTGAGTTTAATTAGTTACTTTCACATTTTTATAGTATTTAACACATGTAAACAACACTAATAGCCGACAAAGTCCACTTGGGAAACAGAGAAACAGAAAAATCCATTACCACTTTAAAAAAGGGAGGGAACATTCTATTTAAATTGAAACATTGAGCAGTCATTCTGCAATCTGCAACTAATTACAAACTTTAAACATAATTTCAAGCTCACCTAGACTTTTTTATGCCTTGTTGCCACCAGCTGCAGAACAGATTGTTTATTCATCTTGTCTTTATTTAATCAAATGCCGTTACCTTGATAGATTAAAGTGCAGTTAAAAATACTTGCACAATAGACACTGCAAACCAAAAACGTTTCAATCACTTTAAGTCTGTTGTGATAAAATCAGCACTGTCAACTTGTAAAGACAGTATTATAATTCTTCGACTGGAGTGTGTGGATACTGAGAATGAGACTCCATAGCAAGGCTTTTTGCTGACGCAGGTGTTGCTGGCATGTGAAGCCCAC